CTACTAACGACGTGGTTTCGGCTCCTTCAGAAATAATTTGGAGAGGGGGAACTCAATGCGGCTGCTTCCTTGACCTCGTAGCAACGTAAATTTTGGGCACCAAATGACCACTGTAGTCGGCGCGCTCGCAAACCCCAATTAACAACAGCAACACACCATAAACTTTCTGTGTGGCCGTATCACACCGACCTGAGACTGCACTAGCTCTTACCTCTTAGGTATGGGCTAATCGACAACTGGCTCGTTGCGTGTCCTGTGCCTTGATGTACAACGGTCCTGTTGGCGTTGTCGTTGAGGTGGTGCACTGTTTCTCTGGTGATTGATTTGTTGGTGGTGATTGATCTGGTGGTGGCGGTGGTGGTGATCTGGTGGTGATGCACTTCTGGTACGGGAGGCGTAGCGTTTGATTCTATCGGGTGATAGCTCCTTGACAGGTCTGTGTGACGTCACTAGAGCCTGTGCTGCACTGAACGGTGTGGAGATGTCTGCAGTGTGTTGTGGTTATCCTCCCGACCTCGCCCATTGGCGGGTCTTGTGACGTCACTAGAGCTTGTGCTGCACTGAACGGTGTGGAGACGTGTACTCTGCGCTGTGGTTGTTCTCCCGGCCTCGCCCATTGGCTCGCACACTTGCGTTCGTGGGTCGACTGCAGCTGTCTCCTCTCTCCAGTACAGCATGCGGTGGTTCATGGCAGTGAAGCGGGCGTGTGGTTACTGGGCGGTAGCCAGACGTGGTTCGTGCCATGCTGTCGGGTATCGTAATGCATGAAACAAGGGTATTTGTTGACGGAAGCGATGTTCTGAGTCGTGAACGATTTGGGCGGCTTGAGGCCAAGAAGGTGCTCAGAGGAGTCAGAAGCTCTAAACGAACTAACATAGATAGGACAGTAGTTATAGCCTTATCCATCTGAGAAAGGCCAGGAGAATGGATTTATAGATGCGTTGATGTTTCAGCAACATGCCTCTATCGAAACAATAGACTTCTGCTATTTGTTTCGACAAAGGCGTGTTGCCGAAATTTCAACGCGTCTTTGTCTCCATTCTCTTGGTTTTCTGCGAGGAATAAGGCTTTTGCTACCGTCTTATCTATGCGAATAATGTTCCTCGCAAATGCACGTGACAACGTACGTAGTTTCAGACGAACTAACCACTCATTTCATGACCCTGTGACAAGTTGATGCAAATAAGATTATTTTTAAACTTGCGCTAGATTTTGGAGGACGCGCGTTAGGCACACGGCTGCGCTGGCCAACGATGCCGTCAGTGAACCTACGTTCATGGGAATCGGTTTTGCGCGTCGGCGCCGCATGTTGACCACCCGTTCCCCATCGGCATACCGTGTGCCGCAGATCGGTCACCAGGAGACTGTAGTGACGTACGTGCCGTGTCCCTCAGATCGACTACCGGGACACTGTTGTGACGTACGTGCCGTGTCCGCAGATCGGTCACCAGGAGACTGTAGTGACGTACGTGCCGTGTCCCTCAGATCGACTACCGGGACACTGTTGTGACGTACGTGCCGTGTCCGCAGATCGGTCACCAGGAGACTGTAGTGACGTACGTGCCGTGTCCCTCAGATCGACTACCCAGACAGCAATTTGATGTACGGCGGCCGGCGTCGCTCGTGTACGGCGGCTAACCTGGAGCGTCTGCTGGCGCTGGAGCAGGAGGAGGTCAGCATCCACTCACGGCTGGCCAGTCTGGACGACCCGCAGGTGCGTGGCCGCGTGGCGGGTGGGGTGGGACGGAAATCGGAGGGTCGGGGGTTCTGTTCCCGCTGCGGGAAGTTTTTCACTGATGCGGGATCATGCGATGGTGCGGCGTCGGTCACACGTGGATGAAAGTGAGTTTGTTACTTTAAGTAGCAGCCTTATTAGCATTAATTGGTGAAGCTGTCCCACTCTCGTGACGCGTGCGGTGTTCGTCCCCCAGCCACCGCTGTAGCAGGTCTGGCCGCCTGCCCCCTCCCTGCCCATCGGGTGGAGGGGGAGCTGTTCTGACCGCCCCGGACCGTCTGGCCGCTGTCCTGACTGGCGCCCGCTCCGCCAGGTGCTGGTGAACAACATGCACCTGCTGTCGCTGTACAAGAACACCGGCTCTCGCTGCTCGTCCGACACCAGCTCCGCCTACAGCGGCTCCGACACCATGCAGTCGCTACAGGTGGGACTGGTGGGACTGGGACTGGGATCAGAACTGGGACCGGGACGCGCGCTTGCAGCGTGGCGTCAGGCGAGACGAGTCACCGCCTCTAGTTCAGACGTGGTGTAGTAACTGAGGCTTCCCCTTGGCAAAGCAGTCATCGCCCTTTCTGTTTCTGCCATAGCTCAGTGAGGCTCCATGTCATTCACGCGTAGCAACACAGACTGCAATTCCTATGATCGGAAATTTTGATGTCAGGACGCCCGTACATGTTATTTTGTGGGGCAAAGGATGGTAAACGAAGTCAACACAGACAGGTTGTACCTATCTTGACGGACCTCGCCGAAGACCGTGCGGTGTGTCCGTGTGCCGACACGGTCCGGCGCCGGGCCGACCCGGTCTGAGGTGTGTTGCTCGCGCCGTCGTCAGTCGAGTATCGACCCCACGGAGTGGACCTGACGGGCCTCATCGAGACCACCGTCGACTCGGACGAGGACGAGGAGGACATGATGGCCACCATGGACTCCATCACGGCCAGGTGCGGCTCGATGAGGAGGAGCGTGATGATGGGTTGATGGTTGATGACGGGGTGATGATGTATTTTTGCGAATGGTGACTGGGGTGGTTATTATTTGTGTTGATCAACGACGATATGACGGTTGTACTTTAGTTCTCCATATCCTGATCAGGATGATGGCAACTTTTGTTGGCCATGAATAACCAGTTGTTTTGTTGATTAACGACGATATGACTTGCTTTGTGGTACGCATTATGATGAGGACGATAATTAACCGCAAAATAATGATATTGCGTGTTTTTTTTTTGGTGTGATGATCAAGGTGATAATCGTGTTTCAAGTGTGGTGATAGCACGGTAGTCATACCTCTGGTGTCGCACGCGCTGCAGAAATGTGCCCACCTCTGAAGCAGACGTTTAAACCAACAACCAACATCACCACATCTACGACTCACGTGGTGCGTACCGCTATCGTGGGTGCCACCCTCGGACGCCGTGCGCGCCGCTTATCACCGCTGTGACGGCAGTATTAGCCTGGCGCGCCCGGCGTCGTGACGCATTGTAACGCGTTGTCCGCGCCGCCGCGCAGGGACGCCGTGCGCGACTGTCTGGAGACGGACCCGGCCAACCGCACGGACGAGGACGTGGAGATCCTGCTGGAGTTCACGCAGCACCTGCGCGCCTTCAGTAACATGACGCTGAGTGTGCGGCGCGCGCTCTGCAGCGTCATGGTACGGCCGCCTGCCGAGACTTTCGTCGCCGTCGTGACCGACTCCAGACCTTCCTTCTACCTACAGACCTCCCTCCGCCGCCGTGACGGCCTCCCTCCGCCGCCGCCGTGACGGCCTCCCTCCGCCGCCGTGACGGCCTCCCTCCGCCGTCGTGACGGCCTCCCTCCGCCGCCGTGACGGCCTCCCTCCGCCGCCGTGACGGCCTCCCTCCGCCGTCGTGACGGCCTCCCTCCGCCGCCGTGACGGCCTCTCTCCGCCGCCGTGACGGCCTCCCTCCGCCGCCGTGACGGCCTCCCTCCGCCGCCGTGACGGCCTCCCTCCGCCGCCGTGACGGCCTCCCTCCGCCGCCGTGACGGCCTCCCTCCGCCGCCGTGACGGCCTCCCTCCGCCGCCGTGACGGCCTCCCTCCGCCGCCGCCGTGACGGCCTCCCTCCGCCCCCTGACGCCTCCCTCCGCCGCCGTGACGGCCTCCCTCCGCCGCCGTGACGGCCTCCCTCCGCCGCCGTGACGGCCTCTCCCCTCCGCCGCCGTGACGGCCTCCCTCCGCCGCCGTGACGGCCTCCCTCCGCCGCCGTGACGGCCTCCCTCCCCCTCCCCTCCGCCGCCTGACGGCCTCCCTCCGCCGCCGCCGTGACGGCCTCCCTCTGCCGCCGCCGTGACGGCCTCCCTCCGCCGCCGCCGTGACGGCCTCCCTCCGCCGCCGCCGCCGTGACGGCCTCCCTCCGCCGCCGCCGTGACGGCCTCCCTCCCCCCTCCCCGCGTGACGGCCTCCCTCCGCCGCTGACGGCCTCCCTCCGCCGCCGTGACGGCCTCCCTCCCCCTCCGCCGCCGTGACGGCCTCCCCTCCGCCGCCGTGACGGCCTCCCCTCCGCCGCCGCCGCCTTACGGCCTCTGCCCCCATCCCCGCCGCCGTGACGGCCTCCCTCCGCGCCCGTGTCTCCCTCCGCCGGTGACGGCCTCCCTCTGCCGGCCGCGCCGCCCGTGAATGACGGCCTCCCTCTGCCATCTGCCACCCGCGCCCCGCCGTGACGGCCTCCCTCCGCCGTCGTGACGGCCTCCTCCGCCGGCCGGAACGGCCTCCCTCCGCCGCCGTGACGGCCTCTCTCCCCACCGCCGCCGTGGCGGTCTCTCCCCTCTCTCCACCGTGACGGCCTCCCTCCGCCGCCGTGACGGCCTCCTCTGCCGCCGCCGTAGCGGCCTCCCCTCTCCACTCCCACCGTGACGGCCTCCCTCCGCCACCTTTCTCTTCGCTGGCTTGACCGACGGATAGGTGGTGCTGGGCGCAGATGAGCACCACGTAGTGTTGGTGCTGTTGCGTCACCAAAGCACCAATATGCAAATGGCACGGGACGATTCGCGGTGGGATAAATTGGGGGGTGGAATGGGAAGGTGTGTGGGTGGTGTGTGCAAACTGACCTGCCGCAGTGTGCACGTGGCATTTTTACGTTCGTCGACGGCTTTTCTGGCATCCGTTTGGTGCGCCGCTGCCATCATGACAGGCCGGCGTGGGCGTGTCGTAAAACTCCAATCATCATCATATTACGACAGCTTAAACCGCGCAAAATCCGTTCCAACGTTCAACTCCGTGACCTGTACGTGTGTCGGTGCGCCCGGGGACACGTCGTCACCACCACCACCGCCGCCGCCGCCGCCTGCACCTGCCGTGTGCCCTCCGCCCCCGTGCTGCGTGTGACGCCTCCTCGGCCGAGTCGTCGCTCTCACTCTGCCCGCCGCGCGACCGCCAGGTGTTCGCGGTGGTGCAGAAGGCCGGTACGACGGTCATGCAGGACGGCGAGGAGCTCGACTCGTGGTCGGTGATCGTCAACGGCCAGGTGGAGATCAGCGGCCCCGGTCTGCCCAGCACCGAGCTCGGCCTCGGGGACAGGTGAGCGCTGAGGGAGATGGTGGCCAGCGGCCCCGGTCTGCCCACACGGGCTCGGCCCTGGGGACAGGTGAGCGCTGAGGGTGATGGTGGCCAGCGGCCCCGGTCTGCCCAGCACCGGGCTCGGCCCTGGGGACAGGTGAGCGCTGAGGGTGATGGTGGCCAGCGGCCCCAGTCTGCCCAGCACCGGGCTCGGCCCTGGGGACAGGTGAGTGCTGGTGGTGTGATGCTGGCGGCATTGTTCGTTTCGCCAGGCTCTGGCGCAGTGGTGTAAGATGGCACTCCCGTGGTATTCATTGCTTGCTGTTCGTTGGATTATGTTAGGTGAGTGGTGTAAATGTAACATTGATGCAAAACACAGCCGAGGAAAATTATGGTATTGATGGTAGGCATTTTATTGAGTTGCTAAGAAATGTTACGCTTTTCCCTGATGCCACGATGATAATTGTTATGGTAATGCGATAAGCCGATGTGGCGTCACTGGTGCTGCTGGGCGTGACGACGCTGACGATGGCACCCCCCGCCTTCTGTCCCCTGTCCAGCGTGTGTGACCCGGTCCTCGGTCCCTGTCCAGCGTGTGTGACCCGGCCCTCTGTCACTTTCCAGCGTGTGTGACCCGGCACTCGGTCCCTGTCCAGCGTGTGTGACCCTGCCCCTCTGTCCCCTGTCCAGCGTGTGTGACCCGGCCCTCTGTCCCTGTCCAGCGTGTGTGACCCGGTTTCGGTCCCTGTCCACGTGTGTGACCCGGGCCCTCATGTCCCTGTTCCACGGGTGTGACCTGTCTAGCTTGTGTGTGTGACCCGGCCCTCTGTCCCTGTCCAGCGGGTGTGACCTGTCTAGCTTGTGTGTGTGACCCGGCCCTCTGTCCCTGTCCAGCGTGGTGACTCGGCCCTCTGTCCTGTCCAGCGGGTGGTGACCCGGCCCTCTGTCCCTGTCCAGCGGGTGTGACCCGCCCTCTGTCCCTGTCCAGCGGGTGTGATCCGGCCCTCTGGTCCCTGTCCAGCGGGTGTGACCCGGCCCTCTTTCCCTGTCCAGCGGATGTGACCCGGCCCTCTGTCCCTAACCAGCGTGTGTGACCTCCGCCCTCTGTCCCTGTCCAGCGGGGTGTGACCCGGCCCTCTTTCCCTGTCCCAGCTTGCGTGACCCCGCCGCTCTGCCCGGCAGCTTCGGCATCACGCCCACCATGGAGAAGCTGTACCAATCGCGGCGTGATGCGTACCAAGTGCGACGACTGTCAGTCGTCTGCATCACCCAGACCGACTACTACCCGCATACTGCACCAGGTCAGACGGGTGACGGTCACGGCGCCGCGGCTGGCCGCTCCGCTGTTGGGCGACGTGGTAGTGTTGTGGGGAGCAGTTTTACCAAATGACGATGATGTGTTCTGTGACATGGGTGTTGTTTCGTGTATTTATCCGGCTCGGTAAATCAGCGTGTTTTTCATATAAATTACGATACTGTGCCTCTATTTGTGCTAGCAGTTTCGTCTTGAGATCTTGAGTCGGAACAGTTACTTATGGCTTTAAAGTTGTGCTTCATGCCATTTTAGGCCCCTCCGCGTGCAATGCCCCGAAGGTTTGTGTCAACAGGTAGACACGTTTTGTAAGGGCGCTTGCCCCTTCGGAAATTCCAAAGCTTCCGTCACGCCCCGCTGCTTCGACAACCCGGGGCGTTTCGTTCAGAGGGAGCTTGCCAGGCCGAAGATGCAGGCGTTTAATCGCCTCGATGTTCAGCTCTGGCGGAGGGACTCGCATCTATGCGCACCCCCTACAGATGTGTCTGGCCTGCTCCTGCTCCTGCTCCTGCGCATCGGTGCAGGACGACTGATGTATCCGTGCCTGTCGGGTGGTTGCTGCTGGTGGCCCCGTTGGTATATGCTGCGAGCCGGGTTTCGTGCCGTGTCTAGTTTCTGGCCGCCGGGAGGCTCGAAACGTCAGCAGTGTATGTTTACTCACGGCTGATGATTTTGAGGGAAGTTGGGGCGAAGGACAGGAGATCTGTGGTCACTAATCAACCAGCGACAATGCTGGCGATTTTCTGTCGGAAATTGGCGATGTTGATGGTTTGAAACCTGGCAACCCTGGTACGCGGCCGCGTTTCTGCGCGCCGCCGCGCTAACCACGGCCGCCGCCGCCGGCAGGGGGAGGAGAACACGCGACGCCACGAGGAGAACGGCGAGGTGGTGCTCGTGACGGAGCACCGCATACTGGACGCCGGCTCGGCCAAGGGGCACTGCGTCATCAAGGTACGGTCACCGCATACTGGACGCCGGCTCGGCCAAGGGGCACTGCGTCATCAAGGTACGGTCCCGCATACTGGACGCCGGCTCGGCCAAGGGGCACTGCGTCATCAAGGTACGGTCACCGCATACTGGACGCCGGCTCGGCCAAGGGGCACTGCGTCATCAAGGTACGGTCCGGACGGCGGCAGAGGCCTCTCCTGACGCTGCCGACGGCGCTACGGTGCGGCGGTGAAACTGGCGACTTTCTGCGCCAACTTGGCGATAAGTGTCGGTAAGAATCTTGCAGCACGTCATCTTAGTGCCGTGTTTTCTGTGGCTATTCTGGCTCGCCTTCTTCGAGTTAGATGTTCGCAGTCCTTGCAGATGATGGAAAGCCTCTAAAGTTATAAAGTAGTGAAGCAATAGTTGCCTTACGCCGACTGGCGCTGGCCGCCACACTGCTGCTGGTGTGAGCTCGCTCTGAGGCACCGAGCACGGGGCCTCACTGCACCCGCGTGGTTCTGTTGCGCGTCAGCAACGCTCACGCTCTCGTCAGGGGTTACATTGTCAGGCGTTATCAAACTGTGGTGACGTCATTCGTGGAGGTGACGTCACCGGGGTGTATCGACATGGATGGAACGTGGCGCTGTCATGGCGCGGTGATGGAAGGGGCGGGAGGAACACTATGTTAGTGTAGGTGGTGTGAGCCCTGGCCGCCAGCGAAGTGCTGCGGTGACGCCGTCGCTTAATGGGTGGTTGTTATGTGTGTCGTGGCCTTTGACGTGTTCGCCATCGGCATCACCTGTGATTGCCATCTTCATTGCCTCCATCACGATTACAGTATTACGGTACACCGTCGTCGCCATCATGAGCACTGTCTTCGTCACCATCATCATATTATCATCCCCACCATCATCACTGCCATCATCATCACCATCACTTGCATCTCATCATCACCACCATCATCATGACCATCACCGTACCACGCGGCAGGGCACGCCGGAGCGGCTGATGACGCAGCTGATGGAGGAGAACTCGCTGATCGACCCGTACTACGTGGAGGACTTCCTGCTGATCCGGCGGATCTTCCTGCCGCAGGCCAGCGCCCTCTCCGGCCAGCTGATGCAGTGGTGTGTGCGGACGTTAGCTGACTGACTGTTGATGGCGGAGCTGACCGCAGCGACGGCGCGTTGATGTGTGTGAAGGCGGGGGCGGGGCTGACCGTGTGTTTGATGTGTCTGTCTGTGGTGTGTGGGGCGCCGCCCCGCTACGAGTGGAATGTTCCGGCAATAGCTGTCGCCTGGCGTGAGGGCGTGGTCTAGGGAATGACCTCGCCCTCCCCCTCCAACGACATAAACCCCCAAGTCTGTGACCTCACATGGCGTTGAATCCTGAAGGAGCCAGGGTTTGTGACTCGGAGTGTTAATCTGCCTTGGACCCGCGTGACCGTGACCCCCGGGCGATGCTAGCTTCATTGATTCCGAGTGCCGGGACTGCTTGACTCCGTGTGACCTTGACTCCCGATGATGCCAGGTTCACTGACCCGTAGTGCTGGGATCACTTGACCCCGTCTGGCCGTGGCGCCCGGCGGCTTCAGAGTCAGTGACCCCGTGTGACCTTAACCCCATGTGACATTGACGCCCGGAGGCTTCAGGTTCAGTGACCCCGTGTGACCCCGACCCCCAGGTTTCGTGACCCCGAGTACCGGGACCGGGTGACCCGTGTCGTGCTACAGTGGGTCAACAGCCACTTCATCGACTTCGAGACGGACCCGGCCATGATGGACTTCCTGGAGCGCTTCGAGCTCTGCCTCGAGTCGAACAAGATGCATGGCCAGGTGGGGAGCACAACCGCCGGCGGGGTGTGGGGGGGGGGGGAGGGTGGGGGCGGAGGGCGCCGGTTGGGAACGAGGGTGGGTGGGACTGCCAGACGCTTTCGTGGGCAGCTGTATAACAACGTGATGTAACGATGGGATAAGATATTCCTTTGCTGTGATGGTATCGTCTTGAGTGGGCGTGAAGGTTTGTTGTCGGAAACGCTGTGACTTCTGGCTTGGTGACGCACCCTGAACTGGTGATATGGATAGCCAAGCTTTTTATCAGGGCCGGCAAGTCCGTTGCAGTGAGCGTGTGCCACATCGTTCCGTACGCATCACGTCCGCTGGCATGGGCAGCTTCCGTCACGGGTGTTTACTACTAAGCACCACACAACGCAAGCTCGTGACATTCCCAGACTCACGCCGATTTCCCAAAATTGTCTCGAGGAGTGACGCTTTTGCACGTCGACGTAGGTGCCATGCAACCCTATCAGCAATCTGTATCGGCGTCTGATGTCGTCGGCATGGCGCTACCATAGATTGGCTTATCTATGATCTGTCGTCTCATTCTGAGGCGCGGCGCATGCTCGTCTTCCCACGCCGTCGCTGCCAATAGTTGCCCATAGCTGGGCAGCCGCCACCAGCCGGCCCACGCCACCATAACTCGCGCCCACGCTGCGCAGCTGGGCCTGCTGAACTTCGAGTGCGCCGCCAAGTCGCGCGTGCGCGTGGTGACGCTGGCGCGGCCCAACCGCGACGAGCCGCTGCCGTTCTGCCTGCTGGGCGGCTACGAGCGCAATTTCGGCATCTTTGTCACCAAGGTGGAAAAGGGCAGCAAGGCCGAGGACATCGGCCTGAAGCGGGGGCGATCAGATCCTCGAGGTAAGCGGTGTGCGGTCGGACCGCGGGCGCGGGGGCGGGGGGTGCAGGCCGTGGGGAACGCTGAGTGTGTGTGGGGAGGGGGGGGGGGGAGATGGACGGAGGTGCGGGATGTCTTCCACGGTACGCGGGGTGGTGCTGTGGGCGAGGACGTATCCGTCCTCAGAGCTACGTAAGGCCTAGCTGATGGCGGGAGCGGCTCTCTTCAATGGGACCGGCTAGTGTGTGCCGGACGTGTTGGGTTGGCTTCGAATCGACTTGAGTCTTACCTGTGGTTGGTTCTGGCTAGCTGTGCGACGACCTGTGGTTCTGTTTCCTCTTACGATCTGAGCCTCATAAGGGGTGTAGATAGTGTGATGCTTGATGCGTCTGCATAACTACTCTACACTACTCGTCTGGCACACCAGAGGTACGGGGTTCGATTCCCCGCGGTGTCCGCCCTTCCTGGCAGTGTGAGAGGCAGGCGACGCTAGATAGGCTCAGCAGCTGAATGCGTCGTTAAGTCGCAATGACGACGACGGCTTCAGCCTCTTGAGTTGACCGTGTCTCCAGCGTCCTTCGTCTCCGTGCTACCAGCAGCTTCCGATCCTCCAGCCGAGTGGCTCTCCCCAGCCCAGTCGTCGTCAGCCTCTCCCGTCTTCTCCAAGCGCATCCGCTCCTCCCCGCACCACCCGCCGCCGGCCTGACCGACGGCCGGCGCCGCGTCGGCGCGCGCCTGCCCCGGCCGTCCTCGCCGTCCGCTTATGGCGCCGCCGCCGCCCGGCCGTCCCCAGGTGAACGGCCAGAGCTTCGAGCACATCTCGCACCCGCGCGCGCTGGAGGTGCTGCGCGGCACCACCCACCTCAGCATCACCGTCAAGAGCAACCTACTGGGTGAGTGACGCCAGCGGCGACGGCGGCGGCGTCCGCCGGACGGCACCGGCTTCGGTCGCCGGCCCGGCGTGGCTCGGGTCGGGGGCCGGCCGCGGTGGTGCGCCGCCGAACCGCGCTCGCGAACGGATGGTGCGCTAGGACGGGCGCTGAAAAGGCGACCCCGGTTTGAGGATTGTTTAACACGCGTGCAAGGCGCCCGTGGCTGTTGCATGGCATTGGCTGCACACCCGTGCGCTAAAACATAGAAGGTAGGCCTCATCTCATCTCCCAGTGCTTTTGTGCGGGGAAGAGACGAGTTCGCCTTTGAGTGGGGGATTCAGGGGATTTCGCGGAGTTCCAGTTATCTGACGGTGTAGGGACCACGCGGCGGGCTTCGGCTTTCAAGCCAAGCCCTCGAGCTTGACCGCGCGGACCAGGCCGGTGTTGCCGCGCCTGCCCGCCGTGTGTCGTCGCCGCGCTGACCGAGCGCCGCCCCCGGTGCGCCGCCGCTGCCGCAGCGTTCAAGGAGATGCTGCAGACGCCCGAGGACGCCGTGCGGCCGCGCCAGCGCAAGGGCTCCGAGATCGCCGGCCTCAACCACTACCCGCGGCCGCGGCTGGCCGGGCCGCACGCGGCCGGCGCACCGCCGCCGCCCGCCGAACACGGTACGGCGCCAGTGGGCAGCGCCGCCTGTTGGTCGCCGGCTGGGCTCTAAGGCCTTCTGATTGTAGATTGTAAATTACGTGGGGTTAGGTCAGGTTAGATTGGTAGACAGTTCTCAGGTAAGATTAATAGACAGTTATCAGACTAGATTAGCGTGCGTGATTAGATAACAAGTATTTTATGTATCAGCAGTAGATTGTACAAGAGAGCAGCAGTAGATTTTATTAGATTAGCGGCTGATTATACAAGATTGGTAGGAGGATATGTAATATTTCTGATAAATTGCATAAGCCTGGTAGTACATTACATTCTAGTATCTTGACTATTATATATTAACATTGCAGTCTGAATTGTATGGTGCCCATGCGCCCCAGATAGACGCAGTTATTGACCGTGGCTTGTTAGAATGGGAGAAGCTTAACAGTATTCGATAGGGCAAGCAGACGTATTGTAACACGTGTCTGAAGAATTGTGTCCTGCAGCTATACATCCGGCATTGCCTTTACCACATTGTGTTGTCTTGTTTTGAATCTTGGGATGCTGCTGTACATTACATGGGTCTCTTTTGTCTGTGCCAAGCGCGTCGCGTCCCCAGCGTTCTCCGTCGATGACCGTCGGACACCTTGGCCATGTGATCCACCCCCTGTCTGGACCAGACGTAGCAGACCTTGACCACGACCACACCACATCTGGCAGTGAGTAGGAGCATGTGCTCACTGACCACATCCAGCAGACCCTGGCTGGATCCTGACTTGACCTGGCAGACCCTGGTCATAGCTGCCAGGGTTTCAACGTGCTCAGCAGACCCCGACCACACCCACCAGATCCTGGCCAGATCCTGACCTGACCCGGCAGACCCTGGCTATAGCCACCAGGCTCTGAACAGGCCCATCAGACCGTGACCACACCCACCAAACCCTAGCTGGATTCTGACCTGACCCAGCAGACCCTGACCATGGCCATCAGACCCTGATCACACCCAGTAGACCATGACCGCACCGAGCAGACCCTGGCCGGATCCTGACCAACTATCAGACCCTGATCAGACCACCAACACTCCAGGCCTGTGGACGCTCCCCAGTGTCCCTGACCATGTAGCCCTCATCCGCCCTCGACGCTCGACCCTCGACCCTCGACGCTCGACGCTCGACCCTCGACCCTCGACGCTCGACCCTCGACCCTCGACCCGTCGCCTGGCCGTCTGACCTGACCCCGCTGCGCGGCAGACACGGCCCAGAAGGACAAGAAGGAGGTGATCCACCGCACGTTCGCCACGCTCGGTCTGCGCACCATCAAGTTCCGGAAGGCGCTCATCAAGGCTATCACGCACAAGACACCTCTGTGAGTGGGCCGGAGAAGCGGGCGGGGGCGGGGCGGTGAGGGGCAGGCCGGCGGCCGGGGGCGCCGACAGACCCTGCACCGTTGGAGGTCTGTGGCCCAGGTCCGGGGCCTGACCGCCGGTCTGTGGCCTCCTCGGTGGTCTGGCCGGCCCGCGGGATCGCCGCTGAAGGCGTGGACACGGTCGTCCCGGGACGACTGGAGGTGTGGCGGTGCGAGGCGCGACTGGCGTGTGTCTGCTGTGGAGGTGTTTGTTGTGCTGCCGTGCAGCCGCTGGCTGGGGGGCGGCGCGGTGGTCGCCAGCGGGACGGGACCGCGACGCACCGCGCTCCGCCGCCAGCGCGGCCGAGCTAGTCACGGACTCACGGGCGCGCCACTGATGCACAGAGTGGTGCCAGTGCTGCCACGTTGACCACTGCTTTCTTGTGCCGTTGTACATTGGCTCACCACTGGTGCTGTTTTTGTTCAGCACTTCACCGATGGCAACGGTGGCCATCTCGGTCGCGCGTGCCACAGTCATTATTGGGTAGTGCTATTTCATCCAGCGGCACCACTGGTGCCATTTCACCTCAGTTCGCCACCAGTGTCGCTTCGCCTCAGCGCACCACTGGTGACGTTTCACATGGCACTGTTGGTGCTATTTCACTGCCGCACTTCTGGTGCCATTTCACCTCAGTGCGCCGCCGGTGCCATTTCACCTCAGTGCGCCGCCGGTGCCATTTCACCTCAGTGCGCCGCCGGTGCCATTTCACCTCAGTGCGCCGCCGGTGCCATTTCACCTCAGTGCGCCACTGGTGCCATTTCACCTCAGTGCGCCGCCGGTGCCATTTCACATCTGCACCGCTGGTACCGTCTCACGTCAGCTCACCACTGGTGCCGTTTCAGCCAAGCGCACCACTCCGATGACGCGCTGGTGCCGGGCGGCGCGGCCGAGCCGGGCTCGGGCGCCATGTACCACTCGCACAGCAACCCGGACCTCAGCCAGCTCAGCTACGACGAGTGGAAGTTTGACTACCCGGAGCACGTGCTCAAGGTGTACAAGGCCGACCAGAGCTGCAAGTACCTGCTCGTGCACAAGGTTAGTGGCGCGGCGTGAGCGGGAGCGAGTGCGCTGCTGCTTTTGGGGCCCGTGAAGTGACGTGATTTGGCTGTGTGGTTTTATGAATGGATCTGGTAACTGTTACTTGATTAGTGGTAACACGCGCTGAAGTACAGACATGTTATACGTCGGGGAAGTTGAAGTTAATTTGAGGTAAAGACGTTTGCATTTTAGATTGAAAGACAAATGATGGGGCTGTTTTGCCGCAAGTTGTTGTTAGCGGCAGTGCCGTGCGCATGCTCGACTGCTGTCCGCCCTGGTGTCCGGCTGTTCGAATTCAGTAATGGTGCTATCATTAAACCTGTGCTCTCTCCATGACGAATTTGGCGGTTGATTGAAGATGGCGTTCATCCATTCGATTATTGAGAATTCCACGTTTTAACACGACGTTGCAGTGCCAGATCTCATATTTCTAGCGTTGGATCTAAGGCGCCGCACGCCAAAAGTGACGCAGAAATGTCATCGGCATCCCCAAATGTTCCGCGAAGTTCTCTGGCCTGCCGCGGCCGCAGCCCGCGTCCGGCGCGAGCCACCGCTGCCGTCCGGCCGTTGTCAGCGTGCTCTGAGGGACGGCCTGACACCGGCTTCCCCCCCCCTCTCCCTCCCCCGACAGGAGACCACGGCGCGCGAGGTGTGCATGCTGTCGCTGCGCGAGTTCGGCATCACCGACCCGAGCAGCAACTACAGCCTGTGCGAGCTGACGGCCGGCGCCGGCGGCGTGGTCAAGCAGCGCCGCCTGCCCGACCAGATGCAGAACCTGGCCGAACGTATCGCCCTCGGCAGCAGGTGGGCATCCGCGGCGACGGCGGCGGGGAAGCCCCGGGCCGGTGGCGGCGGGAAGCCCCGGGCCGGTGGCGGCGGGAAGCCCCGGGCCGGTGGCGGCGGGAAGCCCCAGGCCGGTGGCGGCGGGAGGCCCTGGCCGGTGGCGGCGCGTAGTGCTGTCGGGACGGAACGGATGAGGGCGTCGGCCCTGACGGTGGAGGGTTAAGGACGATGGCATGGGCGCGAGCTGGCTCGTTACCTAGGAGTGTGTGTGTAGGGGGGGGGGATGGAGGGGGGAAAGCGTTGTCCCGCGCGCCCGGCGGCGGTGTGGTGTTGGGTGGTGGGTGAGCGAGTCGCCCTGGGTGGCAGCTGAAGGCGTCGACATCGCCGGCGAGGTGGTGCTGAACCACGGGGGTGTAGACGTACGTGACATACCGCGCACCGTTAAGACAGGCCTGACACACCCCCTTAGTTACGGCGTGTGTGCGACACGCTGCCCTCGGTCGAGACGCGTAATACACCGCGCTCCCTTGGGACATGTGTGACACACCGCCCTCATTTGAGACAGCGTGACATATCGCCCTTAATTGAAACATACGTGCCACAGGTCGACCGGTTCTTCACGCTCCGTTTTATCGACGACTCGTGCGGTGGGCACTAGGTGATACCGCAGTTGAAGCAGTCGAAAGCCTCAACAATGATTCTGGATGATTCTTGGTTTGGTGCGCGTGTTCTCCGCGGCCGCGCGGCGTCCAGCGCCCGTGCCCATGTGCGTGCATGCTCGTGTGGCGTCAGCAGTCCAGAGCGCGCGCGTCGCCTCGGCCGGCAGGTACTACTTGAAGAACAACCAGGTGACGGAGCCGCTGGTGCCGGACGAGCTGGCGGCCGAACTGCCGCGCGAGGGCTCCGTCCACTTCCTGCAGCTCAACGCCCTGGAGGTGGCCGTGCAGGTGAGGCGGAGGGCGCGCCTGGCCGCGAGGAGGCGCTGCTCCGCGGAGGGCGCGCCTGGCCGCGAGGAGGCGCTACTCCTCAGAGGGCGCGCCTGGCCGTAAGGAGGCGCTACTCCTCAGAGGGCGCGCCTGACCAAGAGGGGGTGCTGCTCCGCGGAGGGAGCGCCTGGCAGTGAGGGGTCGCTGCTCCGCGGGGGGAGCGCCTGGCAGTGAGGGGCGCTGCTCCGCAGAGGGCGCGCCTGGCCGCCAGACAGACGCCGGCCGATGATGAGGCCGGCCGGCGGTGGGACGACGGTTCGCGGTGCCGAGGGCGCGCACGGGGAGCGACGGTGTGGTCCGACGTGCGATGTGAGTGTGTTGTCACCAGTGGAGGGTGCGGTCAACGTGTTGGTGCAGGACGCGAAGTAAATGCAGGTTAGGTGGTGCTCTGTTCAGTGGAAGTTTGCAATCGAAGTATTGGTATGCTACGTTGGATGCGAAGAATAAGGACACGTTTGTGAAGACAGGACGGGCCGAACAGTGCACACCAGGAATGGCATTGCGAGTCGTTCGTGAAAAACACAAAATCGAAATGCACGTATACTATGATGCACGTTAACATGAAATTCTCTAGATTCAGACATCTATCAAAATCGAAATGCTGGTATGTTTTGTGAGATTCCTGACATGAAGACATTTAACGATATGGTGCATCCAACGCGTTGTTCGACGTGCCTCCCCAGAGCAGTGTTGCGACGTGCGCGTGGCTGTGTATTGACCCGAGCCGGGGCCTGACGCCCCGCCCCCGGGCCTGTTTCAGCTGACGCTGGACGACTTCAGCTTGTTCCGTCAGATCGAGGCCACCGAGTACGTGGACGACCTGTTCGAGCTGAAGAGCCGCTACGGCACACCCGGCCTGAAGCAGTTCGCCGAGGTCAGAGGAGCGCGCGGCTCCCCCCCCCCCCCCCTGTGTGACCCTCCCCTTCCCCGGCCTCAGTCCCCCCTTCCCCGGCTGCGTGTTGTCTGGGAGGCGTCAGATAGTCGGGAAAAGAGATCTTGGAACACCCTGGGGTGTCGCCCTGCGTTTTTTATTTGTTACGCATGAAAGACCGAGTGCCGAATGCCCTTATTCGTGCCATCGAGTGTCCATCACGTGCTCTGTGTGCGCCGCCGCCTGGCCTTGACCTCTGCCCCCGCCCCGCCCCGTGGTCAACAGCTGGTCAACCGTGAGATGTTCTGGGTGATAACTGCCGTCTGCGGCGAGCACAACCTAGTCAAGCGCATGAAGATCGTCAAACAGTTCATCAAGGTGGCACGTGAGTAATCGACGCCGCGCGCCGGCTGGAGAGCCCGCGCCCGCCCTCTTGGCGACGCGCTGAACACTCGCATTGATGCGTGGTTCGTTTGGTGGTCGCTTTTGTTGTGAAACTGAGGTCAGAGTTGGCCTGCAGCGGCTGGTGGCGCTGTGTGGTGATGCTGGGACTGGTTACGCTGTGTGGTGATGCTGGGACTGGTCATGCTGTGTGGTGATGCTGGGACTGGTCACGGCGGGGTCGGTTACGGTGGTGACTGGGTGTCGTTGTCGCCGTCCCCAGGCCACTGCAAGGAGTGCAAGAACTTCAACTCGCTCTTCAACATCGTGTCGGGCCTGAGCCACGGCGCCGTGGGGCGGCTGAAGCAGACTTGGGAAAAGCTGCCGACCAAGTACCAGAAGATGTACAACGACATGCTGGTGCGCATGGGGAGGCTGTACCGCGGGAGGAGAGGGATGGGAGGCCCAGTCCAGGGGAAAATTGACGTTTCTGAGTGGTGGTGAAGTCTTGGCGGAGGTGGGGGGGGGGGGGGGGGAGGGCGGGACGCGGCCCACTGAGCCGCGTGCAGCCGCGAGGAGGTAGGGACGTGTGTGGGAGGGGGCGCTGCTGACCCGACCTGATTTGGCCGTCCTGATCTGACCTGACCCGACCTGACCGTTTGCCGTCACCCGCCAGGCGCTGATGGACCCCAGTCGCAATATGTCCAAGTACCGCAACCTCATCACGTCGGAGCACGTGCAGCCGCCGTTGGTGAGTGGACGGCGACGGGCGGCGGCGCCGAGCGCTGTGACGTGCTGGACATCTGGATCCGTCGGCTCCGTCAGGGCGTCTGGCTCCGTCGGCTCCGTCAGGGCGTCTGGCTCCGTCGGCTCCGTCAGGGCGGCCGGCTCCGTCGGCTCCGCCAGGGCGGCCGGCTCCGTCGGCTCCGTCAGGGCGGCCGGCTCCGTCGGCTCCGTCAGGGCGTCTGGCTCCGTCGGCTCCGTCAGGGCGGCCGGCTCCGTCGGCTCCGCCAGGGCGGCCGGCTCCGTCGGCTCCGTCAGGGCGGCCGGCTCCGTCGGCTCCGTCAGGGCGTCTGGCTCGGTCGGCTCCCGCTCGTCAGGCAGATAGCGTTTGGCGTTGCATCCTGCCATGTTGACTTATAACGGAGTCGTAAGGTATTACACGCTGTAGACTTAATTGTAACATGAATTATTAGTTGGATATGAAGCACAGGTATGGGTTATAAGTTAAGGAATTGTAAGTTAAGTGTCGCGTAATAGTTTCTAAGTATTGAGCTGCATCGCTACAGCTATTGAGCACCTCAGCGTGTTCTGGACGTGGATTTGGTGGGCGGTTGGGAAAGCACGTCGGCCGTCGTGAGCACGTCCCGCGGTGTTCATCGCCTGGTCCTCTCGTGTCGCCGATGGCCGCTCGTGTGGAGGAATGTCCGCCGCAGCCGTCTCCGACTGACCGTCCGTGCCCCTGGGCGCAGATCCCGTTCTACCCCATTGTCAAGAAGGACCTCACGTTCATCCACCTGGGCAACGACACCTGGGTGGACGGCTTGGTGAACTTCGAGAAGCTTCGCATGATCGCAAAGGAGGTGGGTTAGTGGCACTAGCTGCCCCCCCCCCCCTTCCTGGAATGCCCCGGGGTGATGAGGTCAGGTGCATTTTGCACCTGATTTAGTCAAATGGGCTGGAGCATGGTATGTCATGTTATGTGTAACAAGTTATTATGGCCAAGTTATGTTGTGACAGCATAACGGGCCATAATAACACATAACATGATATAGCTTGGCTATAACAGTGCGTTATTATAACTAAGTTATGTATTATTTGGTTCAGTAGGAGTTTAGTCAGGTGGATTTTTTATTTTCATTTAGCATGGTGTAGTCGAACCATTGGTTGTCAGAGTGCTCCCTGTTCGGCGTTCTGTAACATCGCCGGGTGCGGTCGCTGCCGGCCACGTGCTCGGTGCAGTACGTACGACACCCGCGTGCTGTATGCCGTGACCGCACCGCATCCGTGCCGCCCCAGGTGCGCTCGCTGTCGGACATGTGCTCGGTGCAGTACGACGCCGGCTCGATGCTGGAGCTGGTGGGCCAGTCGGGCCTCGGCCAGCTGACGCTGACGGCGCAGCGCAGCGCCACCGTTAAGAGGCGGCGCAAGTCGCAGGCCCAGTCGAACCCCAAGAAGATGTTCGAGGAGGTGAGGGCGCGAGACAGACGCGAGACGGACGTAGTGAGCGCGGCGGACGCGGCTGGCCGCCTGCGGGTTGTGTCGGTGCTTCGTTTTTGTGGCGTAGCGACGAGAGGACGTGTGATGGGGGGGGGGGGGGGGTGAATGCGCGGTGTCGGCTATATGTTGTCGTTAAGAGGGTGTGTTATGGCGTTAAGGGCGTGTTCTCTTTCAGGGGGAGGGGGGCGTTGCCGTCACGAGTGTGCGGCACAGGCTCGCCTCTGGCCGGTCAGTGAACCACCCCGGTACATCCCGCCACATCGCTCCGCGTTGTCCCGCGACGATGGCGTCCGCCGCCTGTCCGTGTCGGTGTCAGTCCGTGTCGCGCCGGTGTCACCGCACCTCTGGGTGTGTGTGTGTGTGTGTCTGCAGGCCCAGATGGTGCGGCGCGTGAAGGCGTACCTGGCGCACCTGGCGGTGGTGCAGGACGAGGAGCGCCTGCTGCAGATGTCGCTCGAGTGCGAGCCGCCGCCGGCCGGCTCCTCCACCACCACCACGAGGTGAGCGGCGCCGCGCGAGGAGGCCGGCGCGCGCGTGCGGTGTTCGCGCGCTCGCCGGTGTGGGGGCCGACGGGAGGCGCGGAGACACGAGCGGCGACCATTCAGAGGAACCATAGGTCGCGTCGCGCCACGTCAGGTTTACTACGTGGAACCCTAGCAATGGGTGTAATTTGGCTGCAATAGGGCTGCATGCTACACACGCCCATTGAATAGGTGTTTTGTTATATACCATGCTGTCACGATGCAGTCCATAAGTTGCATGATAGCCCTCACTGTCGTGGTCGTTTACTGAGCCGTCGCCGGGCTCCAAGTGCGTGTGATACGACATGCCAAGTGCGATGTGTCCGCCTCGTTTTTCTTGGCTGGTGAGCTGTCCCAGCGGCGGCGTCGCTCGGGGGCTGCGGTAGCCGTCTGCTGTTTGTGTACCGTGTTGCTGTGTTCCGTGTTGTGTTCCGTGCGGCGGAGCTCGGTCGCCAGGCTGACGATGCCCGGATCACCGGTCGGGGCGTGCCGTCCGACGGTCCGGACACTGCTGACCCTTACCCTGTGACCCTCACCTTGTGACCCTGACCCCGACCCTGACCCCGACCCTGACGGTGTGTGTGTGTGTGCGGCGCAGGCGGCGGCACCCGTCGCCCACGTTGTCGACCACCAGCAGCGCCAGCTCAGCCAGCGCCGCCAGCGACGGCCGCCGAGACCGGGCCAAGTTCGGTGAGTGCCCCCGCCGCCGGCGCACGAGCGGCGCCTTGGACTAGGACCGGAGCCGGGACCGGGAGTGGGAACCGGATTGGTCCCGGGACCGGGACCGGGACCGGGACGGGACGGAGACCGGGACGGGACGGGACCGGACCGGACCGGACCGGACTGGCCCGGACTGGAATGAATGAACTGAACTGAACTGAACTGAACTGAACTGAACTGAACTGAACTGAACTGAACTGAACTGAACCGAACCGAACCGAACCGTACCGTACCGTACCGTACCGTACCGGGACCGGGGCGGGTTGATGGGCCATAGCGCGGGCTGGGTGCGAGTTGCGGCGCAGGCACCCTGTTTCGCCCGGGCGTTACTGAAGCAGGTCAGCTGGTGGTTGGCCTGAGAGGGTTGGCCTGGCACTGGCTGGCCGGGCGGTGCGCGAAACAACACCCCAAAACACCCGGTGGGGTAGCCCTGCCTGACTACGAAGACCAGATCGAAATTATCGTCCGCGGTACTCGGATGCCCCCAGCGGGACCGCCCGGCGCTCAGCCCGAGTCTGAGCGCTCTCGGGCAAGCCAGCTCAAATCAACGTCTCGCGATGTTTCGGTGTCTGCGTCGCCGTGTCGTCTGTCGGCCGATGGCGAGACCGCGGCGGCTGCGCTGCGTGGCGGCGTGGGCGGTCAGCGCCGCTGCCGGTCGGCGCTCGGGGCGGCCAGGCTACGGCGGATGCGGCGGTTCGAGGTTGTCCACAGCGACCGTTGGGCAGCGTTGTGGTGTGCTGCGTGTTTTGTCACTGCGGCTGGTCACGTTTTGCGCTGCGGCCTTGTGCTTGGGGCTGTTGATGTCCAGGTCGTGCTGTCGCTCCGCCCCTGGTACGTCGCACCTTTTCGGCGGTCACTGCGTCCTCCTGTGTTAATTCCTGATACTCCAGTCATTGTCATCGTATGCTCACTGCTGCCGTTGACCCATTTGTTCTGATTGTCTCGTTTTGTTGCCGTCCTCACCCGCCGCGTGTGTGCATTCTGTGATGTGCTCTTGCCGTGTTTCGCTGCCTTCGTTCGCGTCCCTTCTCCTGTCCCCGGCCCCCGTCCCCTGTCCCCCGTCCCCTATCCCCTGTCCCCTGTCCCCTGTCCCCCGTCCCCCGTCCCCGTCCCCGTCTCCGTCCCCGTCCCCGTCCCCGTCCCCCTCGCCTCCTCCCCTCTCGCCCAGCCCCGCCGCGGCTCCGCGCCGTGCCGCGCCTCACCACCTCCGTCCCGCCTCTTCCGTCGGCAGGCGCCGCGTCCCCGAGCGCCGTGCGCAAGCTGATGTCGCTGGCCGAGACGAAGACGCGGCCGCACCAGCCGGCGCCGCGCGCGCCCCACCTGCTGATGGCGGCCGGATCGCCGGCCTCATCGCCGTCGCCGGGGCAGGCGCGCCGGCGCGCCGCCGCAGGTGTGTGCGCGCGCCAGCGGTCCCGCCATCTTGGTGTGCGGGGAGACCGCTGTCGTTTGATGGCTGTCTTCGTTGTCGTGTCGCCGCGAGCGTGGCGGGAGGTGGTCGGTGGGGCCGCTGGCGAGGGGTTGCGTTGGCGCGTGGTGGTGACGGGGCGGGTGGCGTGTCGCTGGGTTGTGCACGGGGAGGTCGCCGCGCTCGGCGGTGTGGGAGCTGGCCCGCGGCCGGGCCTGCCTATTTCGCAGTAGGCGAGTTCCAGCTGTGTGCAGCGCTCCTCCCTTCACCTGTGTGCAGCCTTCAGGCCACGTACATAACACAACATACACAACAAACACTGTGTAACTGTGGACCGTTGACCCGTGCGTCGCCGCGTCGACCGTCGCAAACCTGCACACTGCGCGGGCGTGCGCGTCACGCGTACGCCACGTGTCGGCACGTGTCTGACCGAGCGGCGCGCGGCGCGGCAGGCCGCAGCCACGAGCGCTCACAGTCGGACACGCTGCCGGTGGACCTCAGCTCGGAGAGCAGCAGCGTCACCAGCATGCCGCTCCGCAAGACGCACACCAGCGGTATGTACAGCGCCGGCGCTCCGCCGCCGCCGCCTGCGCCGCGCACAGCCAGCCTCGAAGCGCCCGAAAGCGCGCCGATGGCGGCCGCCGCCCCCGGGCTCGGCGTGCCGTGTCGGCCTGTTTCGGAGGGCGGCCGTGGCGGTGTGAGGGAAGGCGGTGTGCGTGGTGTTGAGGACCTGGCGTTGGTTGTTTCTCTGCCGAGGTCGGGAGTGCGGGGACGTTTGCCGAGCATCAGTGGGCCACAGTGGGCCCAACTCACCCTAGAGGTTCATCGTGCCTTCCCCCTGTCCCCTTCCCCCAGGCGTCTTTGGCGCGATTTTGCGAAGGAACATCCGTTGTCGTTTCCATTGGTTCGATGCCCGTGCCTCTGCCGTCGTCGGGGTGCATCAGCCCGCCGCCGCTGTCGGGTACACGGACGTCGCTAACGGCCGCTGGCTTGCAGCGAGTTCAGTGGCATCTGGCGACGGCCCGGGCAACGCGAGTTACGGCGCCCACCATTACGAGGCGCCACGGTACGACGCGGCCGGCCCCAGCGGCTTGGAGCTGTTCACCAACTCGCCGATGCGGCACTACATGTACCTGCCCAAGCCTAACGCAGGTCGGTCACAGTCTAGTGTTATATATATATATATGTATATATATATATATATATATATATATATATATATATATATATATATGTGTGTGTGTGTGTGTGTGTGTATTATGTAGGACGTGCGGACCGAGCTGGGGCTGTGTTTGGCTGGCTGCTTGAACGTGATACTCGGAAGCGAGTGCGGGAGGGGTAAGACTGCATTATCACGTGTCCAGCAAAAAGCCTGGGACCGCGACGTCTCAAAGTGCCCTAAACACCAACAGAGGGTTCACAATGCGCTTCAACGCCGCGTGTGTCGGCTGATATACCGCCGATGTTGTTCCTGCACCCAAGCCGTCGGCCTGACGTCCCCCTCTGCCGCAGCCGGACCCCTCCGACCGCCGCCGCCGCCGCCGGGCGGCGCGCCGTTCGCCGCGGCGGCGGCGGTGGCGCGGCCGCGGCCGCCGGCGGTACCGGCGCCGCCGCCGCCGGCGCGCGAGTCCCGCCGCCGCGGCCCGGGCCGCCCGCCGCGCGCACCGCACTCGACCGGCGCGCTGGCCGCCGCCGCCGCCGCCGCGGCAGCCGCGAGGGTGGAGGACTCCGACCAGGACGGTGAGTGGTGCTGAGAAGGTGGCGGGGTGGGCGCTGTGCTGCTGTGCTCTGCGTCAAGCGTTGCTCAACGGATATAGACCGGGACCTAGCCATCAGCTTTCCTGGAAGGTAAGGTGGACGTCAGGTGCGTGGCTCCCTCAGAGTGCGCGAATGGGACGGCTCATACTTGGTCCGCCCGCATTTCCGTCAGTGTCGTGTGTCCAGTTTTCGTCGAAGGGTATGAGGAGAACATATTCTGGAGTGCAAACTTACAATTGTCGTGCATGCACTCCTAACTCAAAGACGCCAACCTAAAATAGGTGTTCGCCGTTGCGTTTGGTTCTCTCTATCTCCGGCGTCTCCTCTCGTTGCGTACTTGTTTCCGGCTATGAGCCCTTGCCATGGTCCCTCCTATAGCTGGTTGGTCTCTGTGTGTGCTCCGCCCAGCGCACGTGCTCGTCCACACGTGGGGCGGGCGGGCAGCCGCGGTCAGTCCCCCTCCTCTGGCAGCGATGCCGCGTCTCGCGGTCGCCAGTTGACGTCCAGCGTCGGTCGTGCCGTGTCGAGGCCGGCGGCCGCCAGCCTGACCCGACCTGACCTGCCTGACCTGACCTGACCTGACCTGACCTGACCCGACCTGCGGTGCCGGCAGACGACGACGAGGACCAGGTGTCGGCGGTCTGAGCCAGCGTCCGTGTTGGCGTTGTGCCAAGCCAAAGATAGTACCGCCGCCGCCCCCGCCGCTGTCGCTGCCGCCGCCGCTGCCAGCGCCGTCCCGCCGGCCTGGGGCGTCAGCTAGGACGCGGAGGCGTGCGGGCAGGCGCAGTCTGGCGGGAGACCTGCGAAGCGGCGAGAAGCTTCCGGCGGGCCGGGCGAGGTTCGCGGTAGAGCCGGCAGGCGTCGCCGCGGACGCGCTCCCTGGGGTCGGTGCAGGACGTGCGGCGGCTGACGGTCAGCTGGTGTCGCTGCGGGCGCAGATAGCCGGGGGCCTCAGCTGGAATTTGTAGGGGCCCTGACCCCGGGGACGGCGAGGACCCGACCCGCCTCAGGCCCGTAGAAACCTCCCCCCTGAGTGGGCGGGGGCCGCCGCCGTGACGGTTTTGGCGGCCGCTGGCGCCGCTGCCCAGGCCACGGTAGTTGCGCGGCTCGCCGCGTGGCGCCCGCCACTGGCGTGTTCGGGCGCGCGGCCGCCGGTGTATTTATTGGAAGATGCCGGCCATCGGGGGGCCGCCTCGGCGCGGTCGGCGCCCTGAACAAGACTGTTGTATCACGCACTCCGCACAGAGCAGTGGAACTCGATATTTTTGTCAAGTATTTTTGTATATTCACGTTTGTTTGCACCAGCGCAATGTTAGCGTAGTCGTATGAGCTGAGCTGGTCAGCCGCAGCCGGACCGAGAGGCGGCGCTGCGGCGCGTTCGCCGCGACGTCGCGCGCGTGACGTTCAGTGTTCCCCCGACAAAAGGCGCCTCGCGCATCCACCGCGGTGACAAGCCAGATCGAACGTACAAATGGTGCCGGGGCGGCCGCGGCGGCGAGCCAGCCTCGCCGCCGCGGTCCACGCTCCGGTTGGGCGACGCTCGCGCGGGGTCGGGCGGCGGGCGCGCGCGCGCTGAGGCGCCGACGCCGTTCTGCGCCAGCGGGATGCGCAGGGCGATGTGCGCTGAGGCGGTGTCCGTCTGGAGGGGCCGTTGCGATGATCGCGGGCCGGGGAGGAAGGATCGGCGCGAGCCCCGGTGCCGGCGGTCGGCGTGTCTGTGAGTCTTCTCTGTGAACTGGTGAGTGCGCCGCGAGCTTTTCGTGAACGGTAGCTCCCCTTTTCAGTCTTCGGTATAGACTGTCTTGCCTTTTTTGAGAGCTTCCTGTGGATTGGCTACCCCTCGTGTGTCTTCTGTGACAAGTCTTGTCCCCTTTTGAGAGGTTTTTATAAAATTGGTGTCCCTCTGTGCCTGCTCTGTACTCTGCCTTGCCCTTTTTAAGAGCTTCCTCCGAACCGCCCCCCCCCCCCCCGTCCCCTTATGCGTCTGCTCGTTAGCCTATTGCCCCCTCTGAGCGCTTTCTGTGAACCGGTGCCTTGTTTGCTCCCACCCCACCCCACCGCACCCACCCTCATGTTTGGTGCGTACCCCTTCGATGAACTGATCCCTGTTGGTCTTTTGCGCGGCTCCGGAGCGTCGTGGTCCACTGTGCTTCCCGGGTATCTTCTCAGTGAGAGTTCTCTGTGAGTCCGTCTGGTGATCGTCCTCCCGTTGACAATGATCTGTTTGTGGGTCGTTATCACGTGTACCGCCGAGAGTGCTGCCTCTGAGATGTCCCTTTCGGCCATGTGAACTTTGAGTCGTCTCTGTGGGCCGGCTCCGTACGTCGTCTCGTGAGCCGTCTCTGTTAGAGGTCTGTTAGTCGTTTCCGTGATGCGACTCCGTGATTCGTCTCCGTGATTCGTCTCTGTGAGTCGTCTCCGTGAGTCGTGTTCTCGAGTCGTCTCCGTGAGCTATCTGTTCCGCTTGTCTCCTCCATGATGCGCACCGCCGAGTTTGCCGCCGGTGCTGACTTGGCGTGCTTTCGGAGCCAAGATCTGAGAGGGGAGAAAGATCTTCCGTCCGGGCCCATATCACAGCCACGGCCGCCGTCGCCGCCGCCGCGTTTTGGACGACTTTTACAGCCTGAGAGCGGCGTGCTACAGTGGCGCCGCGTAGCGTCATTCCGTTACCGTGAGATTAGCGTGAGGGCGGGTTATGTTCAGCTGGTGACGCAAGGTTATGTTCAGCTGGTGACGCGAGGGTGGGTTTATGTTCTCCTGGTGACAGGGCGCGCGGGAGGAGAGTGAGAGTCGGTCTCTGTGATGTTGGGTGGAGTGTCACGCGATCGCTGTTGCAATTGCCTATTTGTAGTCCGGTGTTTTGACAATACAGCCAACTGACACCGTGGTGCTTCTGCGTTTGCTGGTGGCCGGCGGCGGAAGGACGGTGGAGCGATTGTGATTGAAATGACTAGGTCGGAATCAGTATTTTTAGGTGAGTGCTCCACATTTGTAGGGCGTTTTGAACTGGAGTAACCATCTTGAAGACCATTCGGTGCAGTTTACAGTCCTACCCTTCTCAAGGCCTAGCGCCCCCCCCCCCCCCTCCTCCATTTTCTGATCTACACACCCGCGAAGATCTACAGACTATTTCAAGGTCATTCAGGCATCCATGACGCCATAAGGTCATTCAAATCCTGCCATTTCATTGGCTATGCGGCGATCAGGGCCCAGAAAAGGAAGTAGTCGAGTCGTCCATATCTGGCGTTGGCGAGCACGATTCCTAGATAAAACGGTCATCGATTGGCTCTCAGTCAATGTTGTGAGAGACGATGACGTATCGAGGACCATATTAACTGAATACAATAATTGTGTGGTATAGGACAGTATTTTCCCCTAAACGTACACCAATGGTTATAAGTGAGCTGATTTCATCATGTGATACTTGCTTCAATGTCCTGAGATGTGTAGCATTCCCTTCAACGGAAGGGTGAAAGAAAGGCTGCGACACTTGACGGGCACTTGACTTGAGGCTGCCGACCGATATTTTCACGCGTTGGTCGAGTGTTGCGGTGATTTGTGGGAAACCGGTTCACAACATGTAAAAGGAATGCAGCTGAAAAGTTAAGTTGTTCAGACAACAGATGTTGAGCCCAGTTCAAATTTATTTGGGAGTGCTTCGCAAGTAGAGACGAGCGATACGAACCCAACGATACGAATCTGCGCGACACTAGTGCGCACGACGAAACTTAAACATCAAAAACTTACGTCCGTCGTTGCCCCTAATGTAAAAACTTACACCCATCACTACCTCTACTGGAGAAACTTGTACAGCCAATGCCAGTCTACGGGATTATTTCTACCGCAGACCTACACGCGACATCAGTGATTCAGCAAAGACTTGCGGTTATATCATGCCTCTAAAGCAATAAGTGATCTAGGTTTTTGCAGTAGACGCTCTGCCATGCAGCACTAATGGCGTATGCGAGTTTTTGTCGTGTGAATTTGGGGTGTCGTGCTCATGGCGTGCATGAGTTTTTGCAGCATAAGTAATGTCTCGTATAGGTGAAGGTTGCATAAGTACTTTTGCATAAGTAACGGCGAGTTTAAGTTTTATGGTGCACCATTCATGTCGTGTATGAGTTTTTGCAGTCGAAGTAATGTCTAAATACTATGCGTTTCTTCAGCAGATGCAATGACGTGAAAACGTTGTTCGAAGAATGAATTTTGTCGCGTAGCTCTCATGTCGTGTACAAGTCTGCAGTAGAAGTAATGTCGCGTATAAGTAAAATTTGTTAGGTTAGGGTAGGTTATGTTAGATAAGGTTAGCTTAGGTTTCTGCGGTAGGAGGAATGCGGCGTGTAAGTGGTGTAGCACTCCTGGCGGTGGGAGCTGTTGCCGTAGCCCTAATGTAGTGACACCGTGAAAATGATATAGCATGAGCCGACCACTTTCGCTTTCGCGACTGAAACTGCGACCTTTCCATTCTCCAAGCAGTATGAGCGACAGGCGGCAGCCCCGGCCTAGAATCAAACCCAGTAACGTACCTCCCTGTAGATTAGCTATGATATGGCCCAATCTGTTACAAACGTGACCATTGTGCATGTATGTTACAATGACAGAGCTGTTTTGATTGGCTCATCGCTGTCGGGCCCGAATTATACACGATGAGACTGGAACTTCCGCGAGGTCGCTCCTTATCCTGTAACCGACCTTCCCACACGCTAGATGTAGGAAGGTCGGATACTCATCGACACAAACATGGATGCAGAAACGGATAGAAATCGACGCCAACATGGCACGTGTGC